TGGGAGTGATCAAGAAAGGTTCTTGATATTACCTTTTGGTAGAAAAGGTAATTTGAAGTCGTGCTCACCAGCCCTCCATCACATTCTTGCTGAAGAATTTGGTTATTGCTAAAGAGCCATCCTGCTGATTCTGCTCCACCTCACACTATGTCATCTTCAGTGGGAGCAGTCTTTGGTTTTATCCTTGGGCGTGAACACCTTCGTTGGGAGTTACTGTTACTCCGTATCATGTATATCCCTCTCCTACCTTTTGGTTTCAGATAAAATGCAGTTTCTCTAAAATAGGGAATGTGATTCTCACATGGGAGAGAGAGAAATTTTTGAAATTTCGCCCAACCTTCCTGTAAGGTTCGGCCATCCATATGATGGATCTCTCATCCCTTCATCCTTAACCAGCTATGGTGGAGAAAGAACCACCAGCAAGTCTCATATGGTTCGAGGCTCCAAAATTTATTATCCAATGAGAGTCTGGGGGATGAGAGGACACATGGAAAGTTGTGGCAGAATTACCGTTACCTGATGTAGATGCAAAGGAAGTCAAGGGGAGAGAAGCAGAACCCATCTAGCAAATTGCCCTCCCATACAGCTCCAAATGGTCACGAAAAGAATTAATGATATCTTCCTTAGGATCAATCACGGAAGAACTCATAGTAGTGGTAGATGATTGAGGCTCTTGAGAGGCCAAGTTTGTTGCATTAAACTTCCTCTGACCTTGTTGTCCTGGCTTCTTATTCTGGTCCGACTTTTTACTCAGTTCCTGAGCCCACTTTGGCTTCCCATGAAGATCCCAACATGTCTCCGGGGTATGTTTAGACTTCTAACAATGTGTACACCATTGTTTATCTTTGTCATCAACTTTCTTCTGGAAGTCACTCTTCTTGGAGGAATTACCACCACCCGTAGCAACACTCCCTTTAGCTACTAATGTAATCTGCTCTCCTTCCGGTTTATTCATCACATTCCATCTACTCTCTTCTGATTGTACTAGAACATATACTTCTTCTATTGAAGGGAGATCTTTACTCTCCAATATCTGAACCCTGATAGATTCATATGTGGAATTCATCCCTAAGAGAAAGGCAAACACTCGTTGTTAGGAAACCAGAGACTTGTATACTTTGGCATCTGCATCACATTTGCAATCTATATTCTGATAGTGATCTAGTTCCTTCCAAATAGAAGTCAAGTTTGAATAGTAGACGAAGAGACTCCTCTCCTGCTTACAAGTTGAGGAGGCAGCCTACAACTTATATATTTTGGCATAATGTCATTCTAAATATGTAGATTTGTCTGCTCCCTTATCTCATGAGTTGTTTCTGCCCACATGAAGGTCTTTCTCACTTGTGGCAACATAGACAATAACAACCATGACATCACCATGTTGTTTTCTTGGTCCCACCTATCATGTTCCACGCCTCTAGGCTGTGGTTCTCTGATTCTACCAATGATATACCCCACTTTTCCCCTTGCAGTTATGTAGAACTTGATTCCCCTTGACCATTCTAGGTAATTGGGCCATCAAAGGGAATCACAGCAATGGGGAAACTCATGTCAAAACTTCCACTCATCCCACTCTGACTAGAGGTCACACCAGACATACCAGAATCCTCAGAAGACATAGAACCTGATTTCGGTTCAATCACAATCCAGCTAGAGAACAAGTTCTCAGTTCAGTTCAGACTCACAGTACAGTCAAACATGTTGAAGTCTTAGTTCAGCCGCAATTCTGGGCACAAAAAACTTGTTCTCATACAGAATAATCAAAACTGATCACACACCATTACTTGTTCTCAGATTTCAGCCCTACTAAACCAGTTCAGATGTACAAAACATATCAAAAAACAGGTCTGACCAGTCCCTCCAGCAATAACTCATCAACTTTTCACACAACAATTTTGGTTCAATATGAACTGAAGAAGGAAACAAACTGTTGTCACAACAGTTACAGATCTGTAGACCTGAACAGCCCACCTTTCAGGGAAAAAGAATGATCACTCAATCCACATACATTGAGAAAAGACACTCTCACAGCAGCCGCAGGTCATTAGACCCACATAACCCACTCACCTAGGTACAAAAGGATCAGTTCAATCCACAAAGCTGAAAAGGACAAAAAAAAAACTCATAGCATTCGGCTTCACTCCCCTTGATGATTTCTAGGCTGACGACCAAGAGGGAAAAGAAAAGTCATAGCATAAGCTCCCTTACACGTCCACTAGAGACATTTTTCCTTTGATTCGATCACCAATAGACAAATATGGAAGTTGGAGGAAGAAGCACATAGTTCGCCCAGCTCCTAAGATTGGATCCACCGCTCTGATACCATGTTTTCTTGGTGAAGAGGCAGTACGATCCTAGAATAGTGAGAGGAGAAGAAGGAGAAGAGAGAAGAGAGAAAAGAGATTGGAGAGAGGAAAAAGTCAGCTGGCGGCACCAGCCTTTTTAATATTTATACTAGGGCGGCCATTCAGAAATAAAAGAGGTGTAATTACAAATATGCCCTTGCAGCACTAAACTGAAAATAGAACCAAGTTATTCAACAGCCAATTAGGTGTCAGCAATGTATTTCTTCGTGGCATGCCCAAAGAGGATGTCTATATGAAACAACCAATTGGTTTCACTGATCCTCATTTTCCTCAGTATGTTTGCAAGCACAACAAATCTTTATATGGTCTCAAATAGGTTCTTAGGGTCCGCTTTAATCAACTATAGGATCATCTACTATCAATGGGATTTCATGAAGAAAACACTTCTCTCTTTCATCAAACATCTGCAGTTGATACCACTCTCATAGTTGACGACATCTTATCGCTATAGATCCAATGAAGCAATGATACAGTCAGTCATCTCCACCTTGGGCACTACTTTTTCCCTTCGAGATCTTGGGCCTTTAAGCTTCTTCCTTGGCATTGAGCTAATTGTTCCTCTTTAGACCCTCTTGTGTGCACTAACATGCATGAGTCTAGGCCACACTCATCTCCTATCGCATGTGGTTCTAAACTTTCTACCCATTCCACCTCTGCTCCAGTTGGTACGACAATGTACAGAAGCATTGTTGGTGTGTTTCAATACCTTACTATCACATGACCAAAGATCTCCTTCCCTATCAACAAAGTATGTCAATTTATGAAATCACCCACTGAAGAACATTGGAGTTCAGTAAAGCGCACATTCCGTTATTTAAAATCTACACCTTCTCATGGCATATTACTTCGTCCTTGTCAGACACTCTCTTTGTGCTTACTCAAACACCGATTGGGCCGGGTGTCCAGATGATAGGCACTCCCATAGTGGTCATTACATCTTCGTGGGCCCTAACATTGTTGCTTGGAGTTCTCAGAAACAACAAACAGCATCCCATTAAAGCACCAAATCCGAGTATCAAAGTCTTGCCAATACAACTACAGATCTTGTATGGACTGAGATGTTACTTGCTGAAATCGAGTTCTCTCCCCTTTCTCCACCCATCTTGTGGTGTGACAATTTAGATGCCACATTTCTCTCATATAATCTTATGTTTCATGCTCAAACCAAACATATTGAGCTAGACTACCATTTTGTGAACATGTTGCTAATGGATCTCTTCAAGTGAAGTTTATCACAGCTGATGATCAACTTGTAGACATACTTAC